AGACATTGCGTGAGTTGAGGTGGTAACCAGCAAGTATCGCAATCGCTTTGAATTATTTTCGTAGCATAATATTCTCAGAAGTATTGATTACTGTATTAAGTAATGTGAGGAAATCGGTGCGGAAGTCAACATTCTTATCATTGCCATTTGGAATTTTATGATGAAATGAGCCGGACGAAACTGGTATGGAATACTTGCAAAATGTTGATGAATATCTTTAACTGGCCTCAAAATATCCCTCTAATATATACAGACCATGGCAATTTCACTGAAACTTAGGACTTCGTTCGTAATGTCAATAATTTATTTTTTGACTAGAGCATTATTTCCTTTTCAACTTAAATTTCAGGGCAGCTCATATTTGTTATATTTTTCACAATTTTCCACTGTCTGATTCCTAAAAAATTTTAAACAGCGAGGAAAATGTTGCCGTAATTTTTGCATTCACACATTCAGGTACCAATAATACATCAATATTTTCTCGTGCATTCGTTGGTCATGCACGCCTCCACTGTTATACTGATGCACTGGTATACGCTCTACGTTCATACCATGCAAGATGTAATTTAGTTATTTATGTTTTGAAAATGAAATAGATCTAGCGAAATAAAATGGTGCTGCTTATGTTGTATAAAAATATCAATCAAGATGCTACACTGACCCGCAGCTACACTTGAACCTAATTCTGTTGACAGTGAAACTCAGAGTTCTAATGCAATAACAGCAAATGAGCATTGAACGTGGTAATTCAATCAGTATAGTTTCCTTACTAATCATCCAGTCGAGGAAGCATCATTGACCCTGTCTCTGTTCCGGTACATTTAGAGCCTGATGCCATTAATAGAATTTGACGAAATATGCGGAGCTTGATGACCTAGACCAGGCATATAATTTTGAATAGTTATTTGGGAAGAGTCAAATAGAAACAGATGAGCATCTTAACTATTAGATAGCAGTAGCTCGCTGAATTTTCTATAACATTTTTTTTGGGGGGGGGGAGGGGGAGAGGAGCCTCTGTCCAGTCGTGACATACCACCAAGTGCGAGGTGCCTTCCACCTACAAACTCATACACACTAGCCGGTCATAAGTGTTAGTTGCATAATGTTTTTTTAGAGCGCTAATAATTTGCACATTGACTGAGTGTACTGTTTGAATTCAAGCGTAAGCCGTTGTGGCTGGGGGAGGGGGGCTCAAGATGCAATCCGTTGACAGCTTCTCGCGTTAGCTGTAAATTGCATGAGTAGGCCTTGTGTGTGAACAAAAATTAACTTTCTAAAACTAGTGTATATCCTAACATTGCTCACATACCGCCTGTAGAATTCCCCATCGCACCATCATGTACACGTCAAAAACACTATTTTCGCACAATGCTGGCCACAGTGAGGCCTTTTCAAGCAAACTTATTATATTTTTCAACCCAAAAATTTAGAAGTGAGTCCCGCTGGGCCGTATGAGACTATTTTGGTGATCCTGACACAAATGGGGACTGAAAGCTAATAATCTCTAAATTTTTGTAAGTTCCCATGCAGTATTCTATAATAGGTTTGATTTGCGCTTCAATGCAATGTAACTTTTGTTTTTATGGTATGACAGAATGACCATAACTGTTAAAACGGAGCAATCAAAATTACATTGATGTTTTTTCATAAAAATCCACGGTTAAAATGAATGATGTTGCAAGAAATAAGTGAGAACCATTATCATGACGGCAGGTCACGGCAGTCATGCAGTCTCTCCTGAACAATTCAGGTCCCGTGACCCAAGTCACGCCACGTTTATAATTGATGCTTGTGAAGAACTTATATAAGGCTCTATACGCAGTACGCAGTCTCGAGCGCATACGATATAAATTATGAAATTCGAAATGTTAAATTCAAATCATCGAACGAAACACTTGAATGAACACTGCTAGATTCAAGTTTAAATGGTATTCCCATTAACTAATCTGAGCGTTTGTAATACTCTGGTAGAACTCAATGTTGAACCATATAAATATTACATGTTATACATGCTGGCGCCATGTTGGAGATTATTTATTAATTTCAACCAAGTGCAGGCGTTGTATGAGTTGAAAAATTTTATATATACTATACAATATTTAAAAAATGTGATTCATAAGACAGACGAATATCAAACGATTTATTCATATTCATATGTCTGAGAACGATTCATATGCAACATATATTATTGATCCCTGCAAGTAAATGAGCACCGCAAAAAAAGATTTGCTTCTTTGAATAATGAACCGTAACTGCAGTAATTTTCCAATTCGATTTTTACAATACCTCATATGAAAATTACTGAAGAATATTTATTCTTGAAATAAGTCAAACGTTTTTATCACAATATTAATGAAGCAGGGCGTGTCACAATGAAACAAATGATTTAAAAAAGTATTCATACTCGCATAAAGATCAGTTACTTACGAGCATTTGTTAGTCATATTGCGAATATTATTCATTTGTAATAACACAAGAGAGCCAGAGAAGCATATTCAACAATAACGTTGACAATATGCTCCTACCCATAATAATTTTACCTACATGAAATATTCGAGTTTTTCTTATTGTGAGGTAGAACGATCCAAGGAATTGGTTGTTATGAAAAAATAGCGGGGATACCGACATTGCGGCAGTAACTGTATAGCAGACCGGAGCTTACCAGGAATTAGTTGTTTTATGTACAAGTCCAAATAAAATTTAGAGTCGCCCCAGCATCTGGTAATCCAAATCAGAAGCTGACGCGTCTGTAAATTTTCACTGGGAGGGTTTTTGACTATAAGCTCCAATCCTCGGCGGACGTCTCCCTCTGATCTATCTGTTATGTGTACAAACTCCAAAGTGATTGCTGTTTTTACTTCAATAAAGTACAAATGGAAAGTGTGTGATCTATACTCCGATGAATTTGTAGCTGACGAGAAGAACCAAACGAAAGTACCACAAACGACGTTCGAGACGTACACTCTGCCTCATCGTAAGTCCTTCAAAATGAGTCGGTGTCACTCGCTCTCTTCTGTAATCGGAGCTTCCGTTAAGTCGCTATGGTCTGCAATAGAATAAATAGAAATAAATAAATAAAGCTTGGGCATTCAAATTTTTTATCTTCTGTACAGCCCAAATTCACACTTCACTACATAACCCTTTTCTTAGGTAAGTCCGCTACAGGGCATAACATCCTATAAAGGTATATTGCCATGGCCGCAGCTACAGCAGGAACATTCTAAAGTTAAGCATGGTCGTAGCATAACCACGTCTAGGCTTGGGTCGAGAATAAGAATCACAACGCTACTATTGCAAAGTCTTCTTGAGTACCATTTAGCCACCTTGCACTCAAAACCTTGCATTTTTGTGCAGGACAGGATTCTGATCACAAATTAGTGAAATTTTTTCGATTGATATTATCAACTGTTATTATAATATTAGCGAGAAATTCAGAGTGTACTGAATGCATTAATTATTGACTGTTTATTCTTATTTTTTTATTTTTAAAATGGCCTCCCACACTCACCATTCCAACAAGAAAAAAAGAATTTATTTATTTATCATTTAATTATTGTTTATTTAATTATTGAAGTTCCTGTACAACTATGCTTCTGAAGCTAGAACGAATTTCTCATTGATGAAGGCGCTTGTATTAAATTATCTTGGACTTGAAACTTTCTTAGAAAAGCCGCTATCATTTTGTTGGTTAATTTCTAGAGCGAAAAGCTTAGGTTATTACTTGTTTGGTCCTTTTGATCGTAGTCTGCGTGTATGCGATGAACTTTTACTGTCTCCAAACTCATCCAGCATATCGAATTTGAATGTTAAAAGTTTGTTATTTTTTCATATTCCATGATTGCACTTTCTCAGAATTAGAATCGGAAACTACGAGGTATGTATTTAGAACGAATTAAAGAAGACTAATGTTCAGTGGCATTTTATTTCAACTTCCAAGTTCGAGTAATTAGTTCTGCTTGTTGGATAAGCGTAGTGCTGCAAATATTTTCTTCTCTGTTCGCAAATTTTAGTGCTCGATTGTATAAACAAACGCATTACCAGCATTCATTTTTCAAGTGATGCCTCATATAGGATGAATAGTAAGTAAAAAATTCATTCGTATTAAATCTAAAATTTTTCAATTTAATTCAAAAGACATACCGATTTCATACTACACACTTTCTATTGTTTTGTCAATCGATGAATGAAAAGAAAGCAGATAATGTAATGGATGGACAGAAACCCGATAAAAATCTAGTAGTTTCATCCTGTTAAAAAAAAAGAGATTCTACAATTTCTGCGAAAGTAAGCAGGCACAATTCAAAGGGTGGAAGTGATATATTAATCCTAAACTTGTATGATTCCAAGTAATTCTGTTATAAATAAGCCACAGGGAGGCTCTTCCAGATGTCGGTGACTCGAAGCGAGAAGAAATGTTGTCGCATGGATGTGTTCCAACGCTGTTGTTTTAGTTTACATCCGTGGCCCCTTATGTTGGTTCTTGTTTCAAATTCTAGTAATCCTTCTGGGACCTTTTGTATAAGCCATGAGTATACTTGTATACTTCAATGAGGTCATCACGCAGACGACATTAACTTAATTGGAAGCTTCATAATCTTTAATCTTTCTTCGGTAGACTTACCCTTCAAGCCTGGAATTATCCAATGCCGTGTTGATTTCATGAGGATATTTTATGTTTTCGTTCACAATATGTCACAGTTCAAGGACTACGCTTGCAACTGTGAAGCCAGGCAAAAGCAATCTTAAATTCATGCACTCAGAAAAAAATAAATGGGTAGTATTGTCCAATAAGTGGCACACGTTCTTTCCCCATAGTAGAAGCAGAGAACCGACGTAGCATTAACAAGCCTTTTTTCCGGGTCAAATTGATGTTCAGGTTGACCGGTACAAAGTCCGGAAGTGTACCGCAATTTGAACTTAGTTTCGCTAATTTCTCTTGTGCAGATAAGAACTTCTTGGGTCCCAACTTCAGGTGTCGCTCTATTACGTACCTTCCTCGACTAAGGTTATAGAAAGACCTGTATTATATCGTTGCGACCTATTTCTTCGAAGCAATATCTTAATTCCATTCTTGTAATATGAAATTAGTAGAGGTTTCAGAACTTTCAATGCAGTAGATTATATAGCATATGTTACTGTGTATACTGTACATCTATAATGTAATGCTACGCGGAGACAGGAGAAACAATGTCATTATCTATTGACGGTTAACCCTCAACTCCTGGGTTTAGAGTAATATACTGAGTATCTATGTAAGTTTTGTATATATTATACAATAGGGTTTAGGCCTATACGTGTTTGAGTAGATGAGTACACGGGCGTTCCACATGGAGCGGTTCTATCTTCTCTTATAAGCTCGATATTATTTATGTTCAATGTAGATTTCAGCGAAAAAATAGGACAACCTCATCCTAGATATTTCAAAGTTCTGAATAGGTAAGTTCAGAGGAAGTTAATACGATTCTTCCGATGTATCTAGTAAGGTGACTGATACAAATATTAGTTGGCAAATTTTCGGCATTTGTAGATTTAATAATACTCTAGTCTATATTCATCAATGGATTATTGATATTATGTTGTGGCAAGTCAGAACTATCATCTCAAACTCGTTTCAGGTCCAGCAACTTGTGAATACTCATGTCTGAAAAGTCTACAGAAATTTTGCTGATTCGTGCAAAAATCTCGTTAAGTACTAATTAGTGCACTGCATTACTATCTCTACGATAACCATTCTAGTAAAATAAGCACACAAGTAACTTTCTCCGTCGTACCAGCCTGCATGTGTATAAAAAAATGGCCGAGTTGCATGAAATGCTATCTTTAAAGTTGCTTCTATGAAAGCTAATATGATGCACAAAAGTCATTTGCCTTTCAAATTTAAAGGTAAGTCGAAAACCTCTTACAAACTGTCACGTACATTTTTATACTACAGTCAAGTTTAAGTTCGCTCACTATGAACCGCATAGATTTTATCGACTACTTATCAACTATTACACTCCGCTTAGGGACAGAAATGGTAAGACGTATGAACAGGTCTATTAGTCCGTTAATTGTACCAAGATTAGGAGGTTATTTCCCTTGGTCCTCGCAAACGTTGTGCGCATCAGTCTCCCCGAAGAGCGTCCGCACGCTCTCCCTGAAGGCGCTGGTGACGGCCTCTGGCGAGCGCAGCGCAACGTTCAGCACGCGCCTGTCGCAGCCTGTCACTACGAACTCCCGTCCGTACACCGTCACGGCGTTCCCTGTCAACCGTTATCAATTTAACGCGTGGTAAATGTGCGTGGCTATATCTGGAAAGTCTAACTATAAACCAGGAGCTTCAATTACGTTTGCCAAATTGCCATCAATAAAAAATCTCCAAGCAAATGCATTCAACTGTATCAGGACTATCTATCATCCCTGATCTTCAAGGGCGTTTAGCGCTAACATAAAGACACCTTCTACTATATTAGACACCTAACTCAACTTGATATCATTAAACCTTTTCCCATCTTAGAACGCAAGCGTTCGTGCGTGTTGTGATTACATCCCTGCGTAGGATTGTGGTTCCCTGCACTCAACCTTTGGCTCGACCGCAATGTTTTCAATCGCATTTTTTGCACTAAATTAGTCCGTCATAACTCCACTCGTAGATAAGATGCAAATCCAGATTTTTTATTTGTAATCAGGGCTAACTAACCGGAAATTAACGCACAAAACGGCTAAGCACTTACCAATAGCGAAGTCGCTGAGCTCGTAGTGGCGCTGCGGCTCACCAGGCGGCGCTGGCTTCAGAAGTCGCGCGCGGGCGGCAACCTTCCCGCCCAGACCGCCCACTCCGTGCTGTTACGTTGACGGGTTACAATTTCACATGTCAGTAAATAATTTCATTTCTTTCAATTATAATTTATTTAGCATGAGTCAAGTTTCAGCTGTGGTCGAGAGCGGACGCTCGTGTTTTGCGGTCCCAGATTTTCAACTTTTAACTTTTACTGTGCCGTTTTCGGAACTCTTTTTGCATTTTTTATGATCCGTGTCAGTGAATGACTGAATTTTTAGTGAAGTCAATAAAAGACAGTGCGAATAGAACAAAAAACCTATAGTAAAAGTGTTTCCATCTAAAATAACGCGATTTAGAGTCAGCGAGGGTCGCCAAGCAAGCGAGGGCAACGAGCTCTGCCCCGCCAGCGTAAAACGATAGAGCCCTTGTTTTATGCCCAAGCTTCCCTCCTCTACCCTGAACACCTTTACAGCCGCTGACTGAAAGCCGCTTATTCTCAAGTCTGTAACCGAGTTTTTACAGCACTTTGGAAACTTTACAATTTTTACTCAACTTGATTCAGTTTTAACTTGTGTTTTTTTTAGCTCTTTCATTTCATGATGGCTGGTCAGAGAGGAAGAAAATTAAATGAGAAGACCTCCAGTCCTGTTAAACCGAATTCGAAGATCAAATTGCAAAATGAGCGAGGAGAAATTTGTAAATTTTGCAAGCTGGGATCGCTTAACTTCAATGACGCTACAGTGGCCTGTGATCGTTGCGGGGATATCGTCTGCAACAATTGTGCAAAGTTGAGCAAGACAGACTGCGCTGTTATTCGCAAGAACAAGTCAGTACACTGGTACTGCCAGGACTGCCAACAACCTGCACTTAGCGCTGTAAAAAGCGAAAAAATGGTGGAAGAAAAGTGCTCTTCTATGTTTTTTGTTTTTAAAGCCGAAATTGAAGAAACCAACAAGCAAGAGTTGGGAAAGAGAGCCGAAATGGAGGAGAAACACAACAAAGAATTGAGCTTGTTGCGTAGCGAATTACACTCGTTACGAAACGAGCTTGTGGAAATGAAAGCTCATCTGCACAAAACAGAAAATTACGATAACACAGAAGGTAATGGCCGCAAAGAGGTCATCTCTGATCTCGCCAACGAGAGCACTCGTGAACTGCTGGATAGAGAGAGAAGAAGACTTAACCTTGTTTGGTTTAACGTTCCCGAAATCAATGCTTCGGATGCTGAATTTATTACTGATTGCTGTGCCAAGGCACTTAACGTCGTTGTGAATATAACGGCATGCAAGAGGCTGCGATCGAAAGACGCTACCACCTGTAGACCGCTGCTTGTAACTGTGCAGGATATAGCCCAGGTCGGACATGTGCTTAAAGGTGCCTGTACACAGGGATAGTACTAGCCGCTAGTTCATCCGGCGCTTGAAGCCGATTCTTAACATCGCAGAACATTCACAGCATTTTGCGGTCTCGAACTCGCAACTCACTGCAACAATTCTGCTATGCTTAACCGCCCGGCCTCCTTGCCGATTCTGACCAGAAACTGGCGCACAGAGCTGGGATCGAACCCGCGCCTCTCTGCGCCAATCTTGGTACTCTGAACTTTAACCACTGGGCCTTCGCTTTTAAATTCCTAATTAAGAGGTAGATTATATGATTCAACGTGGATATTTTCAACTACCAACTAACACGTTTGTATCTAACATATTATGGGATAGGTACTGCAAAAAAAGTCTGAAAAGATATTATGAGGTCAATTTTCTGGCTAGGACCGGAGCATGACATGCTTTCATGTAGTTAGGATCAATTTAGTTATTTAGAACGATTAAAATAAGAAATATAAAATAACCAGTTCATTTTATACTTTACATCGTTAGAAAGAAATAGGAAATGTGCAAAATAGAAAATAATTTAACGGTTAAAGGCAAATTGTATTTTAGTTTCTCGACTACACTTCTAAGTTCAAGTCAAGTTTACAAAATAAATTTATAGATGCATATATTTTTATTCAATTGTTCTATAAAATTCTATAATATGATGGAAAAATCGAAGGTTATCGAAAAAGCCGAGAAAAACTTGTTTTAACAGAATTTGTTTTACATTACGAAATGCTTGTTCAGACGAACGCACGAAACTATATATGTGGTTAAAGATGTTTTCCCAAACGTCCAATGTCTTCTCAAACATCCAATGTCTTCTCAAACATCCAACGTTTTCTAAAACGTCCAATGTCTTCTCAAACGTCCAATGTCTTCTCAAACGTCCAATGTTTTCTCAAACGTCCCATGTCTTCTCAAACGTCCAATGTCTTCTCAATCGTCCAATGTCTTCTCGAACGTCCAATGTCTTCTCAAACGTCTAATGTCTTCTCAAACGTCCAATGTCTTCTCAAACGTCCAATGTCTTCTCAAACGTCCAATGTCTTCTCAAACGTCCAATGTCTTCTCAATCGTCCAATGTCTTCTCAAACGTCCAATGTCTTCTCAAACGTCC